CAGAAAGCACGTCCAGAAAAAAAGAAAAGAAAGAAAGAGACAGGGTTAGCTTTACGGTTCTCTCTCGTCCGGTCCGTGCAGCGAGTGACGCTGAGAAACGGGGCTTTGCTGCGTGGGCGGGCTGCGGCCGCCGGTGTGGGGCGGCGCGTGCTAGCGGCAGGTGTATGTAGCGCGGACGCAGTGTGCGTACGCAACGCAACGAGTGCGCTGGCCTTGGAAGATGGATCAAGGCTCGGGGCGGGTGCTAGCTTGCGATGGGTGGAGCAAGCAGGGTGTTTCGAGTTCGATCTCGCAGGCTAGGATGTACCGGTAGTAACACATGCGGATGGTACCGTATAGCACAGCGTCTGCGCGCGCGATATCACAGCGAACGAGAGGAAGTTCGATCGATGACTGAGCCTCTCGAGATGTAGGAAGACGAGAAGCACCTCTTTCCTCATACGCGACGTCAACGAGCGCACATATCAGTACATCCCATCCAACTATTCCATCTTGAGTTCCTTCCGAGCCATGATTGCGAATCCGAAGTTGCAGCGCAGCGTGTAACGCTGAGAGTGGCGAGGATAGGTGCGCGCTAGAGATGACCCATCGCTTCTTTCGCGGTCAGATGGCGCGTCCAAAGTCACACTGAATATTTGTGAGGCACACTGAGTTTGTGCGTAGGATGTTCACGAAGCTCAAAGCCAAGAGCATGAAGATCAGTCAAAACGAACAATGGTCGTAGACGCGCCGCAAGCGCCGTGGCCAAGTCAGCATCAAGGACGCGGACGTTATCGGCTCCCACGCGGGCGGCGTTCACATCCCCAAACCGGATCGGCTGGTCGAGGCTTTGGAGCAGCCCAGGCCGCGGCCTTACCGCGCAATTCCACGGGCGAAAGTCTGCATATTACTCCACTCGTAAATGAATTTCATATCGGTATAGTCGCCCAAGTGCTTTATTCGTGCTGGACGCGCAAAACAGAGGGGATGGTCGTTTCGGCTGAGCTGGTACGCGCGTTTCGGGCGGATGTGCGTCTGGGAGAGGCCGGGTGGGTTAAGGGACAGGATTGAATAGGGAAGATCAGACGAAAGAGGCAGCGTCTGGGCTTCATGCGGGGCTGGGTGCGCCACGTGCGAGTGAGACAGCAGTCGGCGCCTGCGAGTCTGGACCCCTCTTGCGATGCCTCTAAAGATGGCCGCTGTCGTCCGCTGCACTCGCTCCCCGCCCACAACCACGAACCCCGCACACGACAGATACGAAACTACGCCCAGTTTCGTTCGCACTGAAGCTCCTCCCATCGCACCAATCCCTCTCCATCTCCCGCGATAAGCCTCACGAATATGCTCGCTGCTCCTTACGCACCGTCCTCGTACCTTCCTAACCGGGGCATCATGCCCGACATGAAGCCTCCCCGTCCGCTCTCGCATTCGCGCACATACGAAGCGCGCTACCCTGAGCCTGACTGTGTCTTACCCGTTTACATTCTCGTTCGGCCCGGCTCTCCCGCGCGCCCTGCCCCGCGCGATAGGCCGTGGTCGCTCATCTGGCCGCTCGCACTCGCAGAGGGCCTCGTGCAGGCGCTCAAAAGCGACCCCTTCTACCACGCGCCCGAACAGCCCGAGTTTGCACCCCTGGCATGCCCCGTACCCAGCCACGGGTCTCCTGGGTCCTCTGGCGCCACCCAGGGCATACCAGTCGCTTACGGCCGATCTCTCGAAGCATCGTACGACGCACAACACAAACACTTCGCCTTTTGGGGAGGATGTACCCGGGGATGGAACATGCGCGAATTGCGAGGCGCACGATGGGTCCTCGTCGGCGTCTTGGACCGACAGGAGCGCATGGCGCTCGAAGCGCTGGCTGAACAGGTGAGGCGCTTGCCCGATTCGGTGCATGAAATGCAGATATTGATTGCGGGTACCGAACAGGTTCGGGTGATGAAAGCCGAGCATGGATGGTGGAACGGCCAGAATTGGATCGTCGCCCTCTTGAACGGTGCCGTCGACGAGGGCATCATCAAGCCCGAGCAACGAGACGCCGCCGTTCTGGCTGCAGCGCTCGCACCGTCATGAGCTTATCGGCCGCTTCTCTCTGCATCTTTCCCCTCGCATTTCTCGTTGCATTAGCCATCCCCTCGCTCTCGTGCTCGTCTAGCTTTCCCGCTCGCAAGGCACATACACGCCGCGCCGCCCCCTCCATCCTATCCACTCCTCATCTCCCTGGACTTCGCGTGTTATCTGGCCTCTTCTTGGTTCCTTCCCTCGCTGCTGATGCTCTCCCCGCAATGTGTGTACCCTCTTCGTCACCTTTTGATCTTTACACATGGCTGACTCGCTTCTCTTCTCTTCCTTTGCCAGATTTAAAATCCACTCAATGTCTGTTCTTGTCTTGTCGCACTCCACCGTGTAATTGTACCTACCTCATCCACTCCTATCGTAGACGTCCCGTCTCCGCCTTATCATCCTTCCCGTATTCGTACCCTCTCATCTCATCTCATCAGGTTTCCTTAGGTCTTACCAGTCCGTACGCTCGATCACCCCGGAATCCATGCCACCCATGCATATGCATCATCATGTACACCTCGCGACGGACGCTCAGCTTCTCCATCCTCATTTTCCCCTGGCTTCATTGGTTCTCGCTTCCCCAGTCATGTTGTTTCGGTAGCCTCTTGGCCGCGTCTGGCCCTTTTTGCGTCCTCTTCATCTCACTTTTACCTCAATGCACACGCCGCTTGCGCGCGCTCATCTTTTGACGGTAATTCGAGGGACCCCGGCGGAGGCGTCTCGGGCGTGTGGGGGTGATGATCGTCTTCTCGGCCTAGTCCCCTTTCTGCGTAGCGCTACTTCCTTATGCGCATCTCTCATCAGGCAAGTCTTGTACGGGGATTGTATTGCTTGCTATGTTGGCGAGCGCCGTGTAACTGCGCTTGGCGGGTTCTGGCCTCTTCTGTTGGGCGTACGGTTGGTATGTGGACGCCTTGACATATGAGAGCGTAATATCATGGGCCACAATACAACGGCGGGCGGCTTGGGTGCTTCTGATCAGGATGTGCACACGACGCGGCCGTGCGAGGGTCGGGCGAGCAGGAACGAGGTGCTTCTATGGCTCGGGCGCTCAGGACGATGCTTGCAGTCTTTCAAGTGAGCATACAGGGAAACGTGCGCAGTTGAGTCCTCGGACTAATGGTCGTTTGAGGGTTCACTCGGTGTTGCGCGACGCGTTGATAGGTCCTGAATTCATGGTACGATGTTTGACAGCTATGCGGGTAGTAGTATGATTCGCGAAGAGGCGGTATCAGCCGGTTCCGAGAGCGTGAGCTGACATCTCTGAGGGCTAGATGTTTGAGCGTCTCATGAAGGTGATGCGCATATGCGCTTCTTTCAGACCGTTCAGACGGTCTTGAGACCTACGCGACTGCATAGGGCATACAGACCTATCTTTAGGAGTCCAAGCCCTCTCAGCACTACGCTTCAAGAGGAGTGCTTCTCGGATTCTTCCAGCTGGAGTACAGCGGTGCGTCAGCAGACGAAGAGCTTATGAGTACACTTCCAGTGGCTTACTCGTCCGCATCTACCTATAACAGTCCTACGCTGCGCCTTACGAAGGCACAGCATACCACAGATCCCTCCCAGACGGACTTCCAACTCGTGCGCCAGTACGCACACGTCCAGCCCGACGAATCGCCGCACACGACTTACGCGCAATCGACACGTCGCCGCCAGTTCACCGTCTCATGCATCCGGAAAGACGCCGCCACGACTCCTTACACCGTTCGAGCGTGGGCGAGATGGTCAACCTCGTTCCTCCCAGCGGCGCCCGCGTTATCTCCCTTCCCCGCGCGCATATGAACGAGTATGACGCGGTAACAAGCGTACATGCTATGCAAGCGTGTATCTTGACACAGCTGGGGGAGATCGACGCGGGCTCCGCTGTGCTTCGGGAGGAGCAGAACAAGGCGCTGTGGGCGTGCGGGAATTGCGTGTCCACCTGGACCTACATCCGGCGTCTTCGGACCGGGCTTTGAACGCGCCCGGGAAAGGAATAGGCTCGCAGGTGCTTGCCACGACGAGTCTTAGTCTACGATCCCGAGCTGCCGCTGCGAGATCGTTTGCGTATGGGGTACAGTAACGTCTGAACACGGTGCAGTACGACTGTCGTGCTACATGAGAGGCCGCGAGCAGCCTGGGGCGTACCGTCCTAGCTCGAGGCTCAGGCAATGATGGAAATGAACGAAAGCGTCTGAGGATCTCCGGCCGGAACTTGCTTTCCTGTTTCGAACGTGTAAAGGTATTGAATTGCGATAGAGTGTACAGGCACGGGGAAGGCTAGAGCTCTTGTTTGACGTGGGGTCGTGGGTTGTGCGTTGGGCTTGGGTCGCACGTCGAGCACGGAGTCGCGGAGATGCGCGTTTGACGCTGGAGACGCCGGGAATAGCTTGTGTATATGGGATTCAGGCTGTTCGTGTTGCTGCCTGGAGAGTCTAGAACCCGTTGCGAGTATATGCGTATCACGTATGAATTGAGCGTTCTGAACACACGGCCGAGGAGTGCCATGGACGCACAGAGTGAAGAAGAACTGAGAACAAATCAGTCGCGTGGCGTTCCCGGCGCGCGCCGGAGGAGCCAACAACGGCGCCAACATCTTTCTTGAGCTTTGACTGCCACCATACACGCTTTGTGCACATGCTATATCCCCCATGAAGGTCGTGATGCTACTCGGGCGCTCCACGACTTGCCTTGACGTACGACTGCGACTGCATCAAACATGCGAACACGAGGCTCGCAATGTGAGCGAGCGCCTGTCGATTCTCTCGCTCACCGAAAACACGGCCTAAGTAAAGAGACTCACTGCTGTTCGAGCCGTAATAATCCAGTTGTGCGCCGGTTCGTGTGCTCGCCCAACCTCGCTCTCAGATACATCTCGACCGCAGGCATGCAAGTGCCCGAGTACCAGGAACGAGACCGTCAGCAGGTATAACTCCGCACCGGACTTGCTGAAACACCTATCGGTATCTCGTCTCATCAGCCATTCTCCTGCGCACACTCGAAATGAGAAGTACAGGTCGGATTCAATTCATCTTGCAGACTATGCGAAGAACTGATACAGCGGGACTATGATATAGACAACAAGGCCGGCGGATGTGACGAGACAACATGACGGCCGTGGAGAAGGATGCGAGTGGAATGCGAAGGGTGATGATGCGTTTGGAGGCGATGGAGAGGCAGAGCGATGCGATGAGAGCGGGCGGAGTGGCGGATGTAGGTATGACATGAGAGGTGAACTATTCGTGAGGTGGGTCGGAGGTCTTTGTCGAAGGAGGTAGCGCTAATCTTGTTCAAAACAGGGGCGCATTGGTGCATGATGGAGGTTTCGCGAGCGGGACGTCGGCTACTGCTGCTATCCATGACAGGGTCAGTTCTGATCTAAGTATCGTCGCAGCGGGGAGATTTGCTCACGTCATTTCGGCAGACGCGCGGTTTGAGAAACGAGTTCAGACGTCGTTATGCTCGTCGTCTTCGACGTCGAGCCCATCCTGGACCTCCATGTCATCGGTCACGTCCTGTACTCCGATTGAGCCACGCCTTTTCAAGTCAACCAACGTTGCATACCGGCTCATCCCTTTGCACGACCGCGTCCACGCTCTGGACGTTCTGAGTCTGCGCAGATTGCATGACGCCGGTGTCGAGGTTCGGCTGCGCCGTTTGCTTTGGGATGCGGTGAGCGAATATCCTGGAGACTTTGCGACCGCGACTCACGAGCGTGTTGGCAGCGAATAGCCCCATATCCATGTTCAGCCCATAGAAGGACATGAATCCGTCATCTCCGGCGGCATGCTGGAAGCCGGCAGTCAGGCGCACGCGCTGGCTCTCCTGTGGCCGCCCGAAAGTGGGCATCCGGGCCGGTGCCTGCGCGGGCGTCCTGTACGCATTCGACACTGAAATGGGATGGCGGCGCTCTGCGTTGACGAGCGGGATGCGGTGGAGAGCAATCACTACGGTATCCTCATGGTCCACAGTGGTCGCTGCATTCCCATGCTGACCATTGTCGTCTGCGCTAGAAGACCAGTGCGACTCAGAATTGTCTGTGGTGCCAAACTGTGGGACAATTAAGCACTTACGCCACGGCGTGGTCTTCCTTGGGCTCGTTGAAGGAGGTGTTGTTGCTCATCCTGGATGTAGTAGGTGCAGTAAGATGATGGTTGTGGAGAGGATGCGAGGAGGCGATTGAGGCTTGGTGGTGGATGGAAAGAGCAAGTCGCGCGCGCGTTCAAGTTTGAACGCGGCACACTCCGGGCACCTTTTGATGTACTCTTGCGTGTACTGTGATTTGATCCGTTATTTCGCAACATGCACGCTTCACGAAGAGTGTATACATTTTTATTTCGCAACCGTTCGATCGAAAAGTGGAAAGAAGTGTCTCTATTTCTGTGTCTCGGGCGCTGATTGCTGAGCGGTGCACAGGCGTTCACTCCATCTTTGAGAGCGACACTGCGTTACTCTTACGGACGTTCGTACGCTATCGTGCAGCTTCCTAGCTGGAGATGGTTTGCATCCTGCCTCACATGCGAAGGTTCTTCAGAGTACCGGTACCAAACTGCAGGTCGCGCGGCAAACATCGAAAGACGCAGATAGCTCTAACAACCACATCGGACGCTCGTACAGATGAAGAGGGCTTGACAAAGATGCGTGGGACCGTGTGATCTACAAGAGCCTAGTAGACATGGTGACTCATACCCTTGACGAAGGCCACAAGTTGTCGACATCGCCACTGAATACGCCGCCGGCAGTACCTGTGTTCCCATGGTGGTTCACGAAAGCTTATGCCATGGTCACATCCTGCTCGGCGGGGGCCTCCTCCGTCTCCCAAGCCATTTCCTCGTCAGGGACGTCGTCGAGGGAGCCCGAGGCCGGTATGTCTTCGTTGTTCCAGTGCGAGTCGGGCGCAAACAGTGGCTACGCAGACGTTTGTCAGTATCGCAGCTCGAATCATGACGGTCTGATGACCTACCATCATGCCCAGCATGTACGCGTCCTGCGAGTGACGAGGATTGAGCGCGTGAGTTCAATGTTCTTCATATGAATAGATATAGGCACACGTACATTGAGGTGACCATTCGGGTGCGCGCTCATGTACTCATCTGACGGAAGTAGAGGAAAGTCGGCAGAAGGACGGTGAGTGAACATATCGCGTCCCTTTCCCCACCCGAGCTTGTAAGGCTGAGAGACGGAGTGACTAGGAAGACCTTGACTCACGAGATATCCCAGGGAAAGTAGCACCAGATTATCGCCGAGTCCATTGACAAGCTCATGCGCCTGCTTTTTCGTACAAAGCTTGATCGGAACGTTGGCCCAGACGTCCTCCACTACACAATCGGCGAGACTCCCGGGCCCGCGGCGTGCAACCTTCTTCGAGTAAACGTCGAGGATATAGTCGAGGATGTTCAGAAGATCACGCTCCATGATCGAGCGCTCGGACTGGGGTACCGTAGAGAGCTAGAGACAGGCTTAATGAACCGTTTACTCGAATAAGGAAATGGAACCTACGATAATCGCCACCTTGACGAGCGGATGACTGACTTCAAAAGGTTGGTCACGGCGCATGGCGGCTCGCTCGTTCTGCGCAGACAAGTCTCTGTCAGTGTCTCTGCAAAAAAACAGTAGAGTAGGACGCACTGCCGACTGCGACTTGGCCTTGATAGAAGCTTCTATCATAGAAAAAGTTCCCATAGTTGGATCTGGTCAAGGTGAGTGTGGTAAGCTGAGGTATCTCAAAGCAGGTAGAACACGCGACTCGTAAGAGGTCGGAATGGAGAGGGGAAGGAGATCAGCGACGACACTCACGAAGATTATTCGTAGACGACGAAGGAGATGATGAGGGCTAAGAGTGACTTTTGGAGAGAAGCAAAAGCGTCTCGAGCAGCGGAGATGGTGGCCGTTGACTGAAGAGCGTTGAAAGCGCGAAGAGCGATTTTATATCCCCTCACTGCGCCCGGGTGTGGTTTGGTTTCGGTCACGTTGCTTTCGCCATCTGCCGAAGGCACACTCCCTTCATCTGCGGAGTGACATGTCTGTTCGGAAGTTCATGCAATGGATAGCAAGGAAAGAATATGGAGGCTTACAGGGTATTGGAACGCCTCTTCCTGACAGCCACACCGAGTTTCGAGTTTGGGATTTGAGGCTTGACGCTGGATGAGCTAATTCCGAACACAAGTCCTTGATCACGTTAGAAGGTCACACAACCACTGTATTCGGAAGACACGGTGCTATAGTACTATAGTAGAGGTGTACAACGTCCGAACTCGATGGCGGGATACCAGCACACAATGCCGCCATGCGGGCACAATTGACGTAACATGGACGCATGCCGACGAGATCTTTGTATGGTCCTATGCGCCGGAGCCCAAATTCGCGATAGACTCCAGCGCTGCATAGAGCAAGGCTTGTACAATGCATACCATCACGGCTAGCGAAGAGCCTTGACGAAAGGGAGGAAGCGGACCACCAATCGGAAGAGCTTTTGATTGAAACGACATTGGGACAGCCAAGCCATGACCAACGTTGACCGAGATGCTGTTGAACAAGACGTTTGCGTGCAGCATTCCGGCCCCGTTTTCTCGAGAAGCAATCGGGTAGGTTGATAGCATCCCAGCTGGGACAAAATCCGTCGCAACAAACGGCCATTTCTATAAGATCTGCGTGTTGTGGGGTCAGAGAATGCACAACATCAGCATTGCCGCGGTACTGACTTTCAAGGTGTCCGGTTACGATCTTCATGCAGAACGTCACTATCGGGCGGTACGATCCAGCAAGCCATGCCAAAGCCTATTTTGCGCGTCGCGCATGCTCTCGGAACGTAGAGATAAAGAGGTCAATCGAGCTTGAAGCTCGTAGAGACGATGACGGGCGAAAGCGGAGACCCTGGACGCGTGTTGTTGGCGGGTGAAGGACGCGTCCCACGGACCTTCCTCTCGACTACCATCTACGGCGACCAGGACCATGCTGCTTCGCTGCACTGGGAACCGACGCCATGAATAGAGATGATCAGAGACGCGTATCTCTTATGCTTTATCGCTGAGCGTCGCTCGACTCGTCCAAGCAATGACTCATAGGAGTGTCTCCCAATCTTCGTGTCTTTCTTCTTGAACTATGCTCTATTTCAACGCCCATTCGGAGCAATCGCTCGTCCTGGATAGAGTCGCTCTGGCATTCCTCCATGGCACCGGGTCTGGATATTCTCAAATGCTTCGGGAGCCACGGTCGAAGCTGCGGTGTATAAAACGGAATATATCTGGTGCGTCTGCTCAACACGATAGCTCGCGATCATCCGCTCATCGACGACATCGCAGTAGCCATATTGACTTATTCATGGACCGATAGAAGGCGATGAGGACACCTATGTCACATGAAGGCTTCCATGGACGCTCCTTATGCCTCATGTTTCGACGACGTGCTGCACGAAAAATTGACAACATCCGTGCCTGCGTTCTCAGTACGATCATCGGATTAATCAACCACCTCACACCATGTGCGATCTCGATCTCTGATGCGTGGTTTACCTCGAGGGAGATCTCGGCCGGATCACCGGTCGGGCTTACCCCAATTCGAGTTCACCTATGCAGATTTTGGACGCCTCTGCAGCTCGGTTCGCTTGGCCCTTGTCGCGGGTACTCGGCATAAGCACGCGGTTTGAAGTTTGGTGCGCTCCTGTCCTGCGCTACCTCTCTGGCACTACGAACGACAAGGGTTCGGGCGATACCACAAACAGCAACGTTCGTCATGCTCGTAGATGCTAGCGACGCTACCTGGCCAGGCATGCACCTCAAGCATGGAGCGAAGGCACAGAAGAACCCATCGAAATCAGACTGCTTTTACGTTCCTCGACGCGTGTGCGCGTCCGTGACGCTTCGCGTCGAGAGCCGGTCACGTCTTCATTACGAGTTCTCCAACCTCGCATCTGGTTACTCTGTGCAAACACCGTCTACATCTCGACCTCAAGTGTACGACTCGAGACTCTAGGAACTCCCTCTATGTCTCTCTACGTTTGTGATGGATGGCGGCGTCCCTCTTGAATGCGCGGGGGACAGGTGCAAACTTCCCAGCACTGCGGTAGAACGAAGCGAGGCGAACCGCCCGATCTTATGCGGGCATATACCAAATGCGTCGATTTATACGACAATAACTCCCAACTCCCTGGAAGGTGGCTCGTCGGAGTCCGCGGGTGGCCCGCCTACCAATTCCTCGCCCACTCCGTGGTATAAGACGCAGGTCTAGCAGTGTGCGTTTCTTTGTCCTCTCTCCTCTCTCACCGTCTAACTTATGCTCTCTCCATTCGCCTCCTAGTCCTTACCTCAGAAACCAACTTCTGGACGTCGTGCGCCCGCTTGCACCGTCCCTTCTCCCCTGTACCATCCAACGAACTCTGCCTGAATGCCCATCGACGTCCCTCGACGATGGGCACTCGGCCAGACGTTGCTGGGACAGGGCGTGCTCCCATCAGCCCCTTCGCCGCCTACTTGTCCACATCTACGAAGAGGATATTCGATCGACCATACCCTATCGACGACCGCGAAGAAGAGGTATCAGCGGATGCAGGAATCGAACGTCTGGTGTACAAGATCTCTAGGCCATATCAGACCTCTGCACGAAAGGTGAATCCCCTCTCTCAGCCAGACTTGTCGACGAAACTGACGTCGCGTACAGATCCTGGACAGTGTGAGCACCCCCGACCGCCTAAACGCGTGGTCTCTGCCTGGCCGGCTACACGCAAGCCGCGCGCGATTGTCCCACTAGGGCGTGCAGCTCTCCGCCTCGGTCACGCACATATCATGAACTCGTTTACAAGGATATGCTATAGGTAGAAGTTTGGATGTGATTACCCTTTGCATGAAGCCCTGTAAGCGGCCAGACTGAAGCAACACTCATATTCGATACGATATGCATTTTAGATCCCATACATGCTGATTGCAGTGTTCGTTCTTGGTGAGGCAGGAAGTTGGTGTATCTGATCCTTGACGCTCGCTAGCTCTACTCTCAATTTCATCCCTCTATCATGCAGTCCCCTCCTATGACAGCACTAACCATGGCGTACAGGGCAATCGACAGAGTTCACGAGGACCAGCACTCCGTGGTGTCGTTCATGCTGTGAGTACATATCACTTGTTCATAACTGAGGCAATTGCTAATGGAGATACAATATTCGTACACCGGCGGAAGCATGTCCAGTTTCCATCAATAGCCCGTCCATACGACCGGCGCCTCTTCCTGAGAGCGCTCAGAGGACACGAAGTTCTTACGGTGGCCTCCCGAGATACTTCGCCGGATCTTCCTTCTAATGTGCAGAGCCGCCCGCATTGAAGTCGATGTACTCGTTCATCCATTCGTCGGTGCTGTCCGCGCCGGGGTGCGCAGGCTGCGGGGGCTGGTCGTTGAGCGGCAGCGAGGCCATGGGGGCAGTAGTGCGGCCGACGTGGGCGGCTATCTTGCGCTGCATTGGTGGGCGCCCACTAAAGTTCGTCGTGACGTCACGACCATTGACGCCAACCGAGCCCGAACCAGAGGCGCCGGTCGACGCGCTGTGCGTGTTCGCTGGTCCAAGAGTTGCCAGATTAGCAGAACGGTGTTCGTACGGGGCGGGCGCAGGGGCCCGCGACTTGTACATTGGGCGGTGGTGCGACTGCTGTCCATTCAGCAGCGCGTAGTCGCCCGTGTCTTGTTGTGTGGTTGCTGTGTCGCTGCGAGCGATGCCAGAGATGGATGATGGCGTGTAGTACAGCGAGTTCGGATATTGCCGTCCATACTCGAGTGCGTATCCGAGGAGGGGATCGTAGCCGAGCTCTTGCACATAGGCGTATGGCACGGCGGTCTCGAATAAGCCCTGAGAATGGTTCGTGCTGGACGTGTTGAACTGCTGGCCAGCCGCCATCGAAGTCGCATAGTTGGCGGTGCTTCCCTGGAGCGGAAGGTGCTGATCGAGGCGTGCAGATCCCATAGGGAGCGATGAAACCATGCTATTCGTCGCTGCGACAACATGATGAGAACTTGATGGCACAAAAGGCGGGGGGTTGGGTATCGACGCAGTAAGCCTGAGGAGGGCGCGATCCTCAAAGGTCAAACTGACATTCAACACTTGTTGGCGCAGAGTCTATGTATCGTGAGCAATCACATCCTTCACGGGTCGTAACGGACACTGACCTTGGGACGCTTGGGCGCAGGTCCGATGGACAGCTGACCTGCTGTCACCGCGAGTGGAACGCTCGGAACGTATTCAAGGTCGGCGGCGCGCTTCTTCCCGTTCGTTTGGCTAGCTGCGGTCACCGATGGCGGCACTTCCTGTGGTTGAACAAGGGGTGCTGATAGATACTCCTCATCCAACCCAAGTTCCTCGAGAAGATGGGCTGCATGCTTTGGTCAGCGTATAGCGGTAAAAATAAGGACAACAGGGGACAAACATCGTGAACGATAACGGAAATCGAACTTGATGGGGTCGGGGCGTATCTCCAAGCACTCAACGACGAGCTCGATGATACCTCCTTCTATACGGTCGAATGCGCGTCAATCGAAAGGATATGCCTCGTTGGAGCAAAGTACGTACGGTATTCTCCAAGGTTCTCGCTTTCGAATATGAATGGATGAGGCATTTGAGGAGCAACCGTCGCTGCGCCTGCTCGCTGAACCGCTGAGCATTGTGTACTCAGATCCTCGGACAGCCGCTTCTTATCGAGCGTGACGTGACAAGTGATAGGCCTGCTCCTCTGCGCGGTGTCCCTCCAGCATACCGTGAATCCCTACATAGATGAGCGTCAACACAGTCTTCTTGAAGGCATACAACGAGCTGACCTTCTGCGGCGCCGCCTCTATGATGCTCTTATGCCCTTTGTAGTGGGGAAGATACAGCCTCGCCTCAGCGCCGTCTATCATGATCCATGCTTGAAACCCATGTTGGGAAAGCCTCGTAACGGGTTCCTAGTTGAGGGAAGACGTTAACGCCGAAGAGCCTTCAGTGCGACATATAACACGTACCGAAGGATCCCAATATTTCACAGCTTTCTTCATCTATAACGACAGAGCCTCAAGACACTTTGGGGTTGTACTTCGAGGTCAGTCGCGAGAGCGCTCGTGGTGGTTGGGACTCAAGAAGGTCGGCGTTGTTTGCGTCGTGTTTGATGATCTTTGCTCACGTGCCAACCACAGCGACATCTAATCCTTAGGTAATCGGGCCAATCAGTTGTGGCGTAGGTCTTCCAACTACTGGGTAAGGGCTTCTGCTCGATGCAGAGGTATGCGATGTGATATTTGGGGACGGTGTAGTTACGACGTGGGTGGCACACTCAATAACATCGGTGCAAGGGTTCTACCGAGCCTACACACAACAGCAAGTTATACGTGATACTATTGAAATAAAGCAGACATGCAAGGTGTAAACATATTAGTACAGCTAGGATACACGTCAATGATAGCCTATGTCTTTTGTCTGAGGGATACGAAGGACACCCGTCTGGAAGGCTGAAGCGCATGTATCTAGTCGCCATTTCCTCCAAATGTCCCCTCATACACATGTCGAGCTTGTTTGAGTACTGTGTGTTTGGGGCGCGCTGCGCTACATGCTCAGAAGTGGTACGGCCGCGACTTTGAAGTCGGATTGGGCACATCAGTGACTTGCCTCCTAGCTATATTGTGAAGCAGGAATAGTCATTTGCAGCTGCTCTGTGAGGGGGTTAACGAGTGGTCTAAGTCACAGGGGAGAGGTACCGCGCTCGTCGTCGAGACAGTCAAGGTTCAAGATCAAGCTGAAGAGCTTCACCGTCGCGTCCGGCCGCGTCGGCGGTCGTGGGAACACTCGCCACGTGTTACCTCTTCTCGTTCAGTCTCCTGCGCTGTCCTGTGCGACTGCGCCTGGCTCACTACAGTGAGGATGGCTATCATGCTTGGTACATACCAATCTCACCATCCAAAATCCCTGCGAAATAAACTGGTGCACCTCTCTCCGTGCGAACTGCCCTAGACTTGTCCATCATTCACGCCGCCCATGATCATGATCAAGGTATTCAATTGAGGATAAAGACTGTTCGTAATCGATAGTCCGCTTCTCTCTCGCCATTCCACGACCGAACCCCGTTGGTCTACAACTTCTTGTAAGCAGGAGAATGGGTACGCAAAAGTCAACTCACTAGGTGCAGCATCATACTCAACAACCTAGAGCCGTCCACATCCAGCGAAGGGGACCATCAAATGCCTCGACGAACAACGGAAATGGGCCATACTTTCATCGATTCTCAGGATAAATTCTGGTCTTTGTACCTGGCAGATGCAGAGAAGTACGATAAGCATCGAATGGAGAGCTGGAAGGGCGACACAGACGGCATTCTCATATTCGTGCGTCATTCATCGCGCTCTGACTCGTAGGGCGCCAACTGACATAACTCAAGACAGGTTTGTTCGCAGCCACTGTAGCAACCTTCACTGTCGCAAGTTATGATATGCTATCACCGGACCCAAACGATCGGACAGAAGCTCTTCTCATGACTTTGGTCGCCTTCAACCTCAACAGCCCCCAGGTCGTCACTATGCCGCAGCGACCGGCGTTCCGAGCGTCAACTTCTGCTGTCTGCATCAATGCTTTCTGGATGATCAGCCTATTCCTTGCTCTCGCCTGCGCGTTGGCAGCCACTCTCGTTCAGCAATGGGCTCGGCGTTACGCTCATCATGTCCAACGCCGTGCACCCCCGCGTATCCGTGGCCCGATCCACGTCGTCCTGTCGATGGGCCTCCGGAGGTTCGGGTTGAACCAAGCGGTAGCCTCCATCATAGGCACTCTCCATGTGTCCGTTGGCCTCTTCTTGGCCGGCTTGGGCATCTACATGTCCTCAGCCAACGACACAATCGCATATTTTATCGCGGGCATTATGGGAATCGGCGCTCTTTCCTACGGTTTCGTAACCGTACTCCCGCTGGCATGCACGGATTCTCCCTACGTGACACCATTGACGCCCTTTCTGCGCATCGCTGTAACATCCGCATGCCGCCTACTTGCGTTCTCCGGCACCTTGTCAGCCAAACTTATCGGCCTGGCGCGCCTCTTCGTTGCCTCTTCTCGACTCAAGCACCAGCGCCAGTGGTTGGAGGACCGCGTCGATGCAACATACTCATGGGCGGCATCGTTACGAGACAAGCGAATGAAGTTCGCTCGCGATCTCGCTGAGAAACCGACCGTTTCCCGAGAGACCTTCGCCATACGCCAGACCATGAAGAACATTGACGAGATACACGAACTCGAGACACTCTGCGACGCTCTACTTGCGGTCGTACAGCCAATCAGAGGCACACGCTGGGATATGGCAGCACACGAGCGTGCTAAACTGGCCGTGTACCTCCTGAGGGACTTGCGTATCATGGACCACATTGGAGAGCTCGTCCTCTCGATCTCGACACCGGGCGCTAGAGACGTGCATATCCGTCGCCTGATCATCGGTTTCAGGCTGTGCCGGGCGTTTACGATGGCAATCAATCTCGAGGATCGTACGGGCCCCCTTTTCGGCACTGTGCGGCTGGAGTTGTCCGCTTTCCTTCGAACATGGTCGTCTGTAGCCGTCAACGAGACACGTCCAGACATCACTTTCCTTGCCGCGTGTTTCCTTTCCGCGATCCGAAACGACATATACGCACATCATCTCTATACTGTTGGACCTGCACTGTCACAGACGCGATCGTATAGTCTCGGCGCAGTGATTGCTGGCGGCATGAAGGATGCGACCCTTGACGAGCTGTTCGGATCAACGCTATCTCCGGATCTTCAACCGAGCCATGGCGACGACTGGAGTTCGATACACACATTCATGTGCTACAACTACGTGCATCTCTTCCGCGACATACTCTCCTACGTATCGCCAGCAGTCATTCGCACATCGGACACACATGCCCTGGTCTGGTTGCCTATCCTGAGGGATACGCACTCCACTCTATGCGCTGCGCTGGGGGATATGCGCCGCCCTTGTCTCGACATCCTAGAGTCTCTGCTAAAGGATGTTGACATCTGCCATCGACAACCAACAGGCGTGCTATTGATGCCTCCAGGATCATCCGGGGGACGTGCGGGACAGGAAGACCCGGAAGATGCATATCGCATCGTCTTTCTACATTATCCGGAGCTCGCAGACATGCTACATGCATTATGGGCACAGATGAGGGAGCGGCGGCCAGATATAGGCTACTGTACACCCTGTTATCTATTCCGCGAGAAACACGCAGATTAGATTGAGGTCCCGGTACTTCGGCGTCTCTAAGCTACTAGACGCTCGGGTCCACAGCAGCCGTGCTTCGTCACTTCGTAGAGTATGCTGTATCGCATTATAATGTAGCACGCACATGCGGGAAACTGCGATTAGAGGTTGGAAATAACGTGTAGCGCTGGCCACTCCTATCGAGACCGGATGACAAGTCTTTGCCGTTCGCAGGCACTCAACGTTGATTGGTACGCATCTGTCGCCCCGTGTCAAAGCTGGGCGTAGTGAGAGGCGCTAGGACTGTACACATGTTGAAGAAGACGATGGGGGCAACAAGTTCCGAGCACGCCAGCGCGGCGACGCGTGAACACATCCCACGTCCGAATCTTGTTCTTGACGCTCATGATGAATGGAAGCTGTCGTTGAATTCGCACGGAGCCATCCTCCACACATCCGCTGACCGTAGGCTACTGACCCGACTGGTGTTTTGTAGATGAGATGAGGCTGAATATACTCTGTTTCATGGCTTCAGTGGCGGTTGGTGCGTGATGCATGATGCCAACTCTCTGCCCACCATAAGCGCGCAAGTCGGAAGCGTGATGCATTAGCTGATCTTATTCACCTCTCTATCACCAAGTGGTTCAAAGATAACAAGGTTTGTCGTCCTTTGCAGATTCGACTTAAACCTCCCACTGACCGATTTGCGCGACCAGTCACCGGCATGGGCACAATCCCCCCACCCCAGCCTCCTCTCCGCACAGAGAGCGACTTCATCCGTGTGGATATGTCTGCACCTAGAGTCGCAGGCTCTCGGCTTCCGCCCCAAGTGGGAGAAGCAGGCTATGGACAATCCGGAACTACTTTCATCGATCCGCAGGACAAGTTCTGGTCTCTGTATCTATCGGATGCGGAGAAGTACGACAACTCTCGCTTGGAGAGTTGGAGGGGGGACGCGGATGGCATCCTGATATTCGTGCGTACTGCTTCCAACGTTTATAGCCGGGAAACTAATCTAAGCGAATATAGACTGGCCTATTCGCAGCCACTGTAGCTACGTTCACCGTCGCGAGCTACAGCATGTTGTTTCCGGATCCGAATGAGCAAACCGCGGCGCTGCTCACGACACTAATCGCACTGAACGTCAACGGTAGTCAAGCCATCACGATCCCGGTGCCACCGGTGTTTCAAGCGTCAACCGCTGCTGTCTGCATTAACGCGCTTTGGATCATCAGTCTCTTCCTGTCACTGGCCTGCGCATTAGCGGCGACCCTCGTACAGCAATGGGCACGGCGCTATGCGCATCACGTTCAGCAACGCGCGCCGCCTCGAGATCGCGGCCCCCTCCACGTTGTTCTCTCGATGGGCCTGCGTCGATTTGGCATGAAGCAGGCCGTGGCCGCTATCATATGCACACTACATCTATCGGTTGCTCTATTCTTGGCCGGACTGGGCATCTACATGTCCTCTGCGAACGACACGATCGCGTTCGTCGTCGCAGGCGTGATGGGCGTTGGAGCCCTGGGCTATGGTTTTCTCAGCATCCTACCGCTAGCGTGCACAGATTCCCCATACAAGACGCCGTTCACGCCCGTTTTGCGACTCTGCATCACGCTCGCCTGCAACACCTTCGCCTACTGCTGCGATCTAGCAGCGACACTCGTTTGGTTCACTTCACGGAAAGGTCAACACGAGCGGCTGACGAGGCGCGCCACCGCTATCTCGAAGTGGACCGCGACATTGAAGGGCGAGCGTATCAAGTACGCCAAAGATCTCGCGAAAAGGCCCACTACCGCGCGAGAGAAGTTCGCCCTGAAACAGACCATGAAGGACCTGGACGAAGTGCATGAGCTCGAGACATTCTGCGATGCACTGATTGTGCTCGTGCAACCCAATGGGGGATCGCGTTGGGATGAAGACCTTACAATGCGCGTAGATCTGACGATCTACCTTCTCGAAGAGCTGCACATCAAAAAGCGCATCGCTCAACTTCTTCTCTCCAAGCCCACTCCGGCCGAGCCGAACCCCCGAGGCGTACGCGTTCGGCGCATCTCCATCGGCCTCAAACTTGCGAGAGCACTCGTAGCGGCGATTGCTCATGCGGATCACAGGCCGAACCTGGTCAGGACTATTCAAAAGTGCCTGGGAGACGAATTGCTCGCTTCATGGAGGTCTACTGCAGCGAACGAGAAATACTCTTGCACGGCTTTCCTTGCGCGATCTTTCCTCTCCACAGTGCGCGTTGACGTCTGTCGACATTACCTCTTGGCCTCCTCGGCGAATGGCGCACTGGACGCTGTGGGCCTCGCCGCCAATCTGTCTCTTGCAGAAGCGCATGCGCCAGGTAGGGGAGAGATCAGGCAACATGTGCGCAGTGCGGCTGCGAAGAGCATGATTCAGTCATACCTATGTGAAGACTATGTGCGCTTCCTTCGCGACATCCTATCGTTCGAATCGCGAGACCATGATCTTCTCGACATGTACGCCGGAACTTGGTTCCCGCTTTTCGTGGATGTTCATAATAGCTTGTGTATGGCGCTGGACGACTTGGACGGCACATGTCTGGACATGCTTCAGGCGGTTCTTATGCATGTCAATATGTGCCACCGACAGGCCGATGGCACCTTGTTCGATCGCGAATACACGAGCATGCCCAACTATCCGGGTCTTGAAGTACCTCGCGACGAGTATCGCGATTTCTTCTCCAGATACCCCGATATAGCTGGTTTGCTGCATGATGTGTGGAGCCGAATAAAGAACATACGGTCTGATGGACTCGGGTTCTACTGTACTTGCTACTACCACCTTCATCTTCCGGAGCATGAACCGGAATCGGCGGAGAACAGTCTCACGACGTCGACGGACTCTGATGTTACACTTTCACATCCCATTACACTTCCTAGCTCCTGTGCTACGTCTTCTTAAAACCCTCCGCCATATCTATACATGTACTTATTACTGTCTCTTACTGTACTACCGTCTAATACGAGTGCATCCCTACTAGAAGGACTATGCAAGAGAGCAAACAGTTTCGATTAACAGCATTTATTCAGAGCAAGTACAATACAAGATCAAGAGCAAATTGAGAACATATACGTCCATATCCAAGCATGCATATACAATCATCAATCATCCAACAAACAGATCCCAGTACATCCCAAGCACAGTATATCCAAACGGCGTACAAGCAATATGATGCGAACGTCCCGCTCAGCGGCGTGAGATCTGCATCTTCTTGAACATCTCCGCGAAGCTCCCCTCGCGCTTAACCGGCGGTGGCGCACGCTGAACAGGAGTCTCGTTCTCCTCGCCAATAGTCTCGAGGGCGGTCTGGAAGCTGACCCGGCGCGTCTTCTTCTTCGAGTCCTTCTTGCGCATGGCGCTGACGATCGGCGCAGCCGGGCGGACGTAGGGAAGCGAGCTGTACGCGCGGAGTTTCTTCTCGGCCTGTACAGTAGCACAAACATGAGTGAGAGGTTGGACAGCGAAGAGTATTATAGGTAGTCGTACCTTAGTAGGCGGCGCAACGGCCGGGACAGCAGCCCCAACCACAAAAACCTCCGTATCAAGCTCCATCTACACACATCTACATCAGCCTTCATACGCCCACCAAACCCCATACAGCCACTGAGTACGCACCGGCACATGCATAGGCGAGTTGTTCGGCGACGGAGGAGGCGCCTGCGCCTGGATCGCATCATTCATCGTAGAGGCGTTGACGGGGCCGGGGAGCGTGAAGCCGGATCGGGAGAGCGACATATAGATCTCGTCGCGCGATGCGCGACGGACGTCGCCGAAGGTGTGGGTGCGGCGGAGAGAAGACATGATAGCAAAGACTGTATGAGGTAGACAGTATGTGCTGCTAGAGAGGTGTGGGTGAGGGCTGTAAGAGGAGAATGAGCCTGTGGTGCGGTGTGGTGGGCGATGTTGAGGGCTCACCTGAAGCCGGTGTATCCTTAGACTGGCACTATTATATGCGCACGCGGTAGAGCGCTGTGATTACACTTCAACTGAAGCTAAGTACAAGGAGATGCTGCTGTTGAGAGCAGACGAAGGTGGTGGTGGGTTGAGAGAGCAAGACGCAACCTCCGCGAGTCAGCTACCCACCCGAGTGTGGTTGTTCGGTAACGGGCGAATTTGCAAATGGCGCGCACGTGTAGTCTGGCGCCTGCGCCTCCACGCGTAGTAACCTTGAGCTCACGTCCTTGGCTATTGAAGTATTTGGTCTCAGCTGTGGCTCTGGAGAACAAGATCGCCTTTACCAGGGCTTCCGAATCGGCCGTGCAGCCATTGTTCCCCAGGTTCGGTGACCTGCAACACCAGCCCTCTCTTCCTTTTCACCAAGCTTACGCACAGAGTAGAGATCTGAGATTGTCTGCGTTTCGGTAGGACCTGCACGCTGGATCACTGAGCGCCAGTACTGAGGCCCGACGACCCCTTCGCTTCGCTTGCACCGAATATCTGGTGCCACAATCACGATCACCTGACAAACGCGCGACGCGTCTCATGCGCAACCATAACTCCCGCCCACCTTCTCCCCGCGCCCCTCACCTGCGTCTTACCATCCAGTTGTGTTTGACGCTGCTCACACAAGTCACACCAGAATAATCCAATAAAGATGCAGTGCATCGATCAAATCACAACCAAACGTGGACTATATAGTACAGATAGTAAGTAAAATGCAAGAAAAGGGATCGTATATGGTCGTAACGCTCTAACCGGTCCACAACAGCTCAAAACGGGCCGCCTCAAATCGCGCGCGCCCACCAGTACTTCCTCAACAAACTCCACGGCCACGGCCAGTCGTCGTCCTCACCATCATCGCCATCATCGCCGTCGCCAGGCGGGGGCACAGGCTTGGGCTCAGGCTTCGGCAGATCCTCCTCGCACGACTTCGGCACCGCAAAGCCGTTGGCGCGGCGTCCTCCGCCCCACGGTGTGCGTCCGATGACAGTCGCGTCCTGGCCAAGACCGCGCGAGGCGAACGCCTTCCAGATGTCGCAGACGTTCTCGCCGCCCGTGCGGACTTCGTCGGCCTGGATGATGGCGTCGCGGGCTTCGAAGAAGCCGGGACGGCATGGTTGGAGCTTCATACCGTCGAGCACGAGCTGGACGGAAAGAGTGTTGCCGTGGATAGGAACGAGCGGCTTAGCGTCCTTGCCCCCAACCATGACCGACCCAAGGTCGTTCTGCGAACGGTAGAAGTCGCCCGTGGGGATGCTGCCGTCCTCAAGCGGCTGCGGCGGGAACAGCGTTCCGCCAAAGCCGTGCTTCTCGATGAGCTTCTGCGACACGACCCAGAGCATCTCGGCCCAGACCTCGCCGATGGCGTGTACGCCCCAGTAGCGGTCGAGAATGTTGTACTTGCTCGGATTGACGGTCTCGTTGAGCGAGTAGGGGTAGTTCCTGATACCCTTGGGCGTGTTAGCGGCCCACGCGCCCATGGGGAAGTCCTCGTAGACCTCCTTGGCACGGATCGTGCTCGCGAGGAAGTCTCCCCATCCTTCACCCATACCGCCTGCCTCGCCGAATCCGAGACAGCCGGAGTTGGCCGGACCACCGGTCAAGCGGGTCGAAAGACCGTGCGAGAGCTCGTGGATGACGATGCCGGCTTCGAGGTCGCCGTCGCGGTAGGGAAGAGCGGTGTTCCAGAGGTACATGCGGCAACGGCCGTTCTGACCGTCAGGTGGGGTCATGAAGTTGGCGTTGTTGTAGCCGGAACCATCCTGCGCGTTGGCGATGACGGCGTCGTTCTCGGAGCCGCCACGCCCGAAGTTGTGCTGCTGGAAGTTGCCAGAGACTTCGTCGAAACCGTAACTGGAAGGACAGTCAGCAAAAGTATTTACAATAGTAAGTGGAGACATACCGATGGTAAAGATCGTGAACCATGTTCGTCGTGTAGAACAACTGAGTGACGGTGTTGTTAATGTACTTCTTCGCCTCCTCGAGCGCGTCCGCCTTGTCCGTGAGTTTAGGGTCGTACTCATAGTCGAACGCGAGGTCGCTGCCAGCATCTGGACGGTAGTTGCTGAGCCAGTTGTTGGCACCCTCCCAGTCCTCGTGCGCGAAGACGTTGTTGCCAGCCGTAGTCGTGAAGTTGGTGTACTTGCCAGCACCGGGCGTGGGCCCAGTAGGGTCGTTCTCGCTGGGGATGACGTGCCAGCCGAGCGGGCTGGCGAGCGCGTCAAAGCCCTCCTTCTCGATGGTGCGGTTGCCCTCGGACGGGTCGTTGATGCCCCATTGGAAGACGTTGTACGTCGCGGGCGAGTGGGTCTTGGACTTCTGAGTAGGCATGGGCGAGTCGCTGGCCCAGTCGACAACCGAGAGTATACGATGGGGAGCCTCGATGGAGACGACAGCCTCGTACCAGTTGTCCGTCATCTCAACCTCGTAGCGCCACGCGTTGACGAGCACCGTCTTGTCGCCGTCGGCGACCTGAACGTAGACGGGCTTGGCCTTGACGGGGTTGACCGCACCGGGAACATTGGCGATGATCTCGGTCATGACAGCGGTCTCGCCACCGATGAAGTGCGGCTCAAAGTGGCTGGTCATGCGCTCGAGGTGCTGCTCCCAGTTGGCCGTAATATCCTGGACAAGTTCGCCCTGGGGTGCGGCGGCAATCATGAACTGAAGGAGCGGTGCACGGGGATCGAACACGCCGGCGGGAGCAGCAAAGGAGGCGTCCTGCGCCATCCGGAAGGGTGTCTCGACGTGCTCGCAATTGGACGCATAGGCGTGCGAGAGCTCGTCAACATGCTCAGCGCCCAGAGCAACTTGGTCACCCTGAGACTGCACAAACGAGGCGAGCGCGGCCTGATGCTCTTCGCCCAGCTTCTCGCAGAACTCGGCGTGCGGGCCGGCGGAGGGAACAGAGACGAAGCCGTCGGGGACTGCACCCTGGTAGAACTGTAAATCAAGAAGCGCGTCAGCCATCATGTCATCAAGGGCTAATGATTCGTGGGAACGGCGCATAACCGCCGGCACGCCATTGCCGGCCGAAGTCTCGCCACAGTCGCTAGCAGCGAGCTCGCATGCCGAAGCGGCTCTGGACACCATAAAAGGGCAAAAGGGTCGCGTGACTCACCGAGTTACCGTACGAGATGACATTGCCGTCGCGAACGTTGACGTTCATATCGCCATCGGCGACTTCGACACCGTTGATGAGCTGGCGGAAATAGGCATGAGTCACGCCGGTTGCCTTGTCGGTGTACGAGTCCTTGCGAAGAACAAAGCCGTTGCCCTCGGTGAGCTGGTCGCCGAGAATGCCACGGACAAAGGTGGTGGCAACGTCGAACGGCTCCTTGGACGCGGTAAAGGCGTCAGAGACGAAGATAGCGCCAGTTTGGAACTTGGCGTGAGGTAGAACAGGGCCAAAGCCGAGGGTCTTGCGCCTTCCAGCGCTGGGGCCCGAGTGGGCGAGAGTGTAGCTGGCCAGGCCAGCGAAGAGAGCGGTTGTGGTGATTAAGCGCATTGTAAATGCGAGAGAGCGATGTTGCCCAGAACTAGCGAGCCAAACACACAGTCAAGCGGTTGGCAGTGGTGGGCGTTCGGGACAAGGAGCAACTAGCGACGCGCGTTGGGCCTTATCAACTGACCCCACGCACCGCCGGACCTGTTTCGGGGTTCCTCGCCTGACTGACTGCGCTCAGGCTTACGCACTCGTTCACTTCAGGTTACTCGAGCTCAGGATATGTCCATCGAGCTGCACGCGGTGGCGGCGAGGCCAGAAGCTCCTGAGCTGTGTACAGCGTTTAGGGGCTTGGGAGCCACGCAACATGCACGCTGCGCAGACACGTGTTTCCCCGACTTCCGCATTGGGCAAGCCGCGCAGCTTGTCTTGTGCCACGACCGTCTTCTGCAAAGTGATGAGATACACGCTGGCTAAAGCCGATCAACTCGACACGACATAAGGCTCGCGTATCATCTTTGCTCTATACACCCCCGGATGTAGTGAATCTACACCTATGAGACTTTCAAATTCCATTTCGCATCACCCTGAAGCAACTTGCACGGCTTTCCCCTCACCGTCCCGTCCTGAGGCGACTTGCTACCTAGGCCTGGGATCACAGGAATGTAGCTCTGGAGAAGTTGAGAGCCCTCAAAGATTGGGTCTATATATATGAGGTATCTATCGGACGGGTACGCCCATGTGAAGCGACGAGGGTGGTAAGTTAACTGCCAGTGGTGCTTGTTGTTGGCCACATCAGAACTCCTTTCCCGCTCAAGATGGTTGCATGGATGCTATAGAGACTATGGGTCACTAACAGTGGAACAAAAGGGAACTATATCGCGATTTTGCCATGCTGCATTCTGGTGTATCGTGGTTCTCCACTAATTTGATGGCGCGAGATAAGGTACTGGGTTTGGCTCAACTGAAGCCTATTGAAACACGTCTCGTCTGATCAGAATGCTTTTCATAACAGTTCGGGGAACATGGCACTGACCCTCACCCGAAACTCTTCGCCTTCGTCCTCAAAAGTCGTACCCGCGCTGAGCAGGCACAAACATCAACACCCACGTCCCTTCCTCGTCCACTTCAGACCAATGAACCTCTGCTTCGCCTGTGCGCTCACGAGTGCTGCCGATATACCCGCGTGTACGGGAAAGCATACGCGCTGCACGACTGCGATGACGCCCTATGCTTGTGGCGCTTCGTGCCGACGTCGTAGGTGGCGGCATGGGCGGGGGTGGCGGCGCCATAGAGGGCATCGGTGCCATAGAAGGTGCCGGTGTCATCGACGGCCCTGTTCGAACTGGGTATGAGCTTGATTCATACCGCGGCGCCGATGCCGTTGCCGCATATTGTCCCAGCGGAGCAGCAAGCTCTGGCGCAGCCATAGAAGCATCGCCGCCGCCGTTCACAGCGACGAAGTTCGTGTCAGTCGTATTCACGATACAGTCCGAGCACGGTGCCTGCGAAGTGTCATGCATGTGTGGTAGACCAAGTAACGGGCGCGGAGCCTGTGGTAGCGGAACTTGGCTGTATGGCGAAGGGGCAAATGGGTACAGTGGCGGGGAAGTATATGTGGGCTGGACGCCGTAGTGAGTTGCCTCATTCGCGCTCGTTGAGCCGTAATGACTCTGATGATGAACTTCCTACGGAGGACGAGCATCTTAGTGTCAGTACGGCGGGTGAGGGTTATATACTGACTCGGACTGGGGCGAATTGGGGCGGGAGGTTTGCGCCAGATTGTAGGTGGTGGCTGTAATTGTCCATGTTGGTTTTGTCGGAGCGCCGTCGAGTGGACTCCCCAGCTCGATAGAAGGCCTACATATATGCGCATCCAGAGGCGCCCGTCCCAAGCGTTGCCGACAGGCGACCTGTTCCATCAAGCGCTGCCGACGGCGATTTCCGGTGTTTCCACCTCATACACCTAACAACATGCGGGCGAACTTCTCAACCGGGTCGAAGATTCTCGCTCTGCGCTCTCCAGGTGCGTCTATCAAAAATTACGCGATTCTGAGCCTGGGAGATCTCTCGGAGTGCGGAAACGGGGCCGGACGATACCGAAAGCATTTCATCTCCCCCATCGGCGTATGTATATACTTTCACTCACGGGTTCAATGATCGGTTCAGCAGTGCAGATGGCGTCGGCGTTCTCCGCGAGCGTTGCCAAAGCTCCTTGCCAAGCCATTGATCTCGTTCCAGGTTGCCTTTGAACATGCGTATCGGCTGGGTACTAAGCCCTCAATGAGCGCGACTAGCAGAGAGGAAGTCGTCGGCGGCATTGGTGGAGCTGCGTATCATGAGCCCGAGAGGCTAGGGCGGCAGTGTATAGCAGAATGTAGTCTCTGCCTAGTGATATTGGTTGACTGTCACCGAGAGCGAACCCTGCTATACACACAGAGACCACGGTCGAGACTAGCACAATCGGATCTACCCGCTATAAGCGCTCAACACTCGGCGCTAAAGTGCCGCTATACATTCTCATGTCAAAGTGTCAGAATCCCGGTTCCGGTGAGATGTTCGAGGCACACGATTTCGCGATTCGCCGGACCCTGGTAGACTGTTCTTGACAAGCTCGGCAGATCCCGCGGTCCAACGTCGCCAGACAGAAGCCCGATCTTTACTACTGCAAGGAACAGGTATACCGATCTCGGCCAGATCCATTGTGGTCATAGTAGGGAAGCTCAGATCGTTTTACATGCGATGCTTGTGGGTGAGATAGCAAGGACCCATGGTAGCCTGCCGCCCAAGGCAAGGCTGCAGAGCTACAGAGTCATGAACGTCATCTCACGGTTGATGTTGCGACTCGTCGCTCTCAACTACCTTCACTCAGAGAGATCCTGGGAAGGCCTTCTGTATGCTTGAACGTTACTACTCAGGTCATCGCGAAAGTCAGAACCCAGGTTACGCCAGCGCCTACTAACTCCCCAAGGCACCCACAGAAAGGCGTCTAGAGTCACACGCGCTCACGCGAAAGATCTGTAATATGACCGCAATGACGCGGGGCTCATGTTGCTGCGCGACGAGCCGGCAATCGGCGACGAGCACCAGCGCCTGTGCAGAAGCAGGCACCAGAGACCACAATAACGGTGGCGCTTGGCGGTGGTAAACCGTTTCAATTATGGCGAGCTAGAATACACGATTCTATAAAGAGAGTAAACGGGATCCACACTCGCTTGACTCTAGAACGCAAGATGGGTGTAAACCAGGCTCAACAAATACTCGATCTGGCCTACTTGACGCCCTTGTACTCGCCGTACAAAAATCCTGGTCGGCATCACTGTCACAGAGCATAGATTCCCAGACTCTGACAGGTACGAATATGGGAATCTGAATGACGCAGAGTGGCAGTCGTGCCGGGATATCGCTATTTGCATGGTCAGATCCCGTAGAGAGCATCAAGGCTTATTAAGGACTACGTTACCTGCGCACACATCGATAGCGGCTAAAGTGCTGCCCTGAGGATGTACCATCAAGTACGCCAGCCGCCATGTCGTGACCTGCCGGGGACGCCTCCGATAGGCTCATTAAGTCCAGCAGGTCGCCTCTTCCCCACCAGTTCTCCGTTAAGCGAATAGAAAGTGTTGATTTATGTACGACCATGCGTATGCATCAATGGTAGGACCACCGCGGACACAAGCGATGTGGCCAGCGCGTTCGGTAGGAAAGGTGGCGTGGGCAAGGAGATCAGCAGGTCTCCGCATTTCCATAGCAGTATAGACGTAAATAGAGCCTGAGGTGGCCAAAGAGTGCGACAGAGATAATGCCAAGCAGTCCGTGCAACTGCAAGTGGGTGTTCCAGACAAGCAGGGCGATTCGGGCCCGCAAATTGGCCGTGAGACGCGCGTGCAACTTAACCTGCACCTCCATGAACGACGAGCTCTCGCATAGCTTCTTCCAGGCACCCGCAATAACGATTCGAGCCATTGTGCGAGCGCCTTTGTATATGTGCTCCTATGCGTATGAACCATGGATGATCACCGGTCGAAGAGCAGTTAGTTCATGCCAGCTCCATCGCGGGCGGGACTCCCTAAACTCGCGCGCTTCGCGTCGCGCCGCAAATGACTGAATCTAGATTGGACATCTGAACCTATGATATATACAGACAACAAAACGCAATCACAGTGCAGTTTCGATTACATTTGGCGATATACTGCCGGAGATAAAACGTCACAACCCCATGCCCATCACAAGAAGGGGCGACAGCTACCACCCTCTCGACACCTTCAACCGTGGAAGAATCTTTCTATCACCGCGCCGACATACCCCCCTAGCCGGCAGGGTCTGGGACGAATAACACGATCACGGTACCGCCTGGCGCTCTGTATGATGCTCGTATCTGCGGTCCGGAAGAGAGGCTACGGATGCTTGACGCGGGGCCTTGCGTGCGTGAAGATGTGTAACAAGAGTGTGCGTGCGTAGTGTTGCTAGGGGAGCGCGCGGTTTCTGATGCATCAATGCTCACAGACGAACTGGGATGCTGCAGGGATGCGCTAGCGAAGTTCTCTGCATGGAAAGGTGCTGTAGCCACGTGAGGTAACACCGACGTCGCTGCAGGATGCATGAAGTTATTGATTGAGCTGGATGGATAGGCACCCTGAACCGGAGGTCCCGCGTCAAAGTTGCCAAATCTGACTATCGGGTCATTACTGGCGTCGGTGATAGCGTTGTTGGTGTCACTGCTGCTGAAAAACGTGGTCGGGTCCTCACGGCTCGTCATGGGCTGTGCAGCGAATTGGTATTCCGAAAATAATGGATACTGGTCGAGGCTTCCAATGGATGGCCAAGGTGCCTGTCGGTCCGTCCTGGCAGTGGCGGGTTGGACATCGATGCTCTTCGGGCTGCTGGTTGGTGGCTGCCCCGGTGGGTGATAGGGGATTATTATCAGTTCTTGGCCAGAAGTGTTCTGATACCGCCTCAACAAGAGTGTCATCTTGCGAAGAGAGGCGATACTTACCTGCCCGGGGAACGAGGCAGTGCCCTCATTACTTCGACCACGCCGACTCTGATTGCCCAACATATGCGCTGAATCGCAATTTGCTCGCTCTACTGAGAACGCTACTGAGATATGAAAGACACACAGAGCGCTTCGCAATGACACACCGAAGGGAAAGGATGGAAAGGAAATATTAGGAAAGACTCTTGAAGCGACAGACGGTGAGGAGACAAGCCCAGATCGCCTGGAAGTACGCGGCCTATATGCTTATCGAGAGGCGCCCGTCAGTATGCCGATGGATCTGTCCTGCAAGGAGAGTTGTCTGGCCTGCCATAGTATGATGATGTTTGCGGGTTCGGTCGTTTCGAGCGCCAAGAGACACTGAGTGTCAAGTGATACTCTGACTTCCACGAAACACGCTCTGGAGACGGCCCGCACTTTCTGACGCCAAGAGACACGCTGGGTGCCAACAGATCTAAGAATACGACAGGAACATCCGTGTCCTCGCCGGCCTCTCTGCGCCGAATGCTGATGCATGGAGCTTCTGCGCATATTTTGGCGCTCAGCCGAGTCGCCGATACTACTGAGTGTTTCTTCCCCAAAGGCGGCTACATATAGCCCAATAGACGTATCGTGTGCTTCCGAAAGAGGTCGTGCGTGAGACTACTAGGAGGTATTCAGTAGTGCGGCAGAAGGACTCATTGTTTATCCTTTCCTGTTCATCAAAAATTCTCCACCCTACGAACGACGACCTGACAAAGCTTACTCATGCGCTTCTGCAGGGGCTCACTTGTAAACACACAGGTAGATCTGACTTGTACTATCGGTCGATTAGATGCCAGAGCGTGATGATGTTTGTGGGCCCGAAAGAAGTTGTCAGTCCAACCGGACGTCTATACTGTACCTGCTGCGAAGCAAGGCCAATACGACAGGGACACTCGTGTCATCGCCTGCCTCTCCGCGCAAAACGCCGTTGATGGATGGCGGCGAATGCCCAGCCGTCCATGCTGCCATAGATAGTACTCTGCGAGTGCTGCACATGCTGTCATTAGTCAGGATCGTGAGAGGAAGTCCTGGGACAAAACTATTCGGTCAATTCGTGCACAGTGACACAACGCCGGTGTAAGCGATGTTCAGTTTTAGACACCGTTGACCGCATTCAGCTGTGTCGTTCATCTGGTGTCATGGCGGGGTTACACAGGCATGCTTTCGGAATGGATGGCAACCGCAAAAAGCACAGAAGTGTAACGCCTGGTGCTTCTGAGGAGCCTGTCTGGGCTGGGTGTGAAGAGTGCTTGACGACAGCGGATCACAGCCAGGCCTCGTAGCCTCATCAGATACCTATGGTTCACCGTCAGTCTATCATGGGCGGACGAGTATGGCCCACACACCACAAGATCAGTCTGTCGTTTGCATGGCGTTCGGGGTATCTGTTTCAGGCCGCGCTGTAACAGCTGTTTGCCGAACGATATGCCACCAGGTGGTCCTACACACAGACGGGTTGGCACCGCTTCGCTCCACACCTGGCGCGATGTGCCACAGCGGCTGACCTTCGCCTTATTCGACAGGCGCTCCTGCGATCCGAATCTTGTGAAGATTCCTCCACGATTCGCGAACAAATCATATTAAAGCCCGTATTCCGACGAGCGTCTGGGTATGTGATAGACGAATATACTGGGTAGTACATCGAGAGCGAGTCAACGATAGACAAAGAGAGATCAGATGAGATGGTCCTCCAACGACGCGATGTGTTCGCGCGGGTACAACACGACAGGCGCAGATCCCGACGACTGCTCCCCCCTCCCTCCTTCCTCCCCGCTTGATATAACAATCACGTCTATGGTTTCCCCGCCGCTTCGCGTGTCGGTGTCGGCGGGGA